GAATCTCCCGGAGTCTGATTGATCTGGTGGGGGGGGAGTTGCAAGAAGAAGAAAAGAAGATGGTGGGACTGACTGGATCAGTTTAAGCCAGTGGTTCCCAAGTTTGGGTCACCAGATGGTCTTGGACTTTAACTCCCAGAAATCCTGGCCAGCAGAGCTAGTGGTGAAGGTTTCTAGGAGTTTTAGTCCAAGGATATCTGAGGACCTAAGGTTGGGAGCTGCTGGTTTAGGCTAAAGATTTCATGGGTCCTGGTCATGTGTAGGCTAAAGATTTCATGGGTCCTGGTCATCAACACAAGAAAATCATATTAGTAAAGTACAATGAACCTCTTAGAACTTCAGCCGAGTTATTGCTAATTAGAGCTTGGTCTTAGAGATTAGGCCCTATTAGGTATCTGCTCTCTAACTAAATTACTGGTATACAAGGCAGGTCTTACACCAAGATAAGGGGTATCTTTGGATACACCAAAATGTCCCACCCATGTATTTTTAGAGAAAGGAGCTTTGAAACAACCCAGAATCCCATTGGATCACATGCTTTACCTGCTTCAGGCACAAACTGAGATCCCAGTCACTGCTTTCTTTAATCCTCAATGTGTCCATCTCTTTTCTAGTTTGTGGAGAGTACCCTGTAACTTCTTGATAGGGAAAACAGGGCAGTGCTCATGAATGATCTGGTGCTCATTTAAAGGCAGCTTTGACGCTCATTTAGCCAGACCTTGGGACTACAGGAAAAATTGACTACAGCCAGCTATGAATTGTTGCCCCATCCCCAGGCCTCCAATATTTTAAGTTGATTAAACCAAAGCCGCTGGGGCCTTTTTAATCTGAAACATAAAAATCAGTTTAAAATCACAGATGGCTTAATCTCAAGAGGCCTTTTCCAGTGCAAAAAACGCCTCTAAATAAAGAGTGGCGGAACTTTGGCCCACCAGGTGTTTTGGACTTCCAAGTCTTGGAAGCCCCACACAACATGGCCAATGGGCAAGGATTATGTGAATGGTAGCCGAAAACATCTGGAAGGCCAATGTTTACCCCACCCATGCTCTAAGACAGTGGTGCCCAACTTTGAATAACCCAGGTGTTCTTGGACTGCAGTTCCCAGGAATCCTGGCCCAGCACAGCTAATGGTGAAGGCTTCTGGGAGTTTGAGTTCCAAGAACATCTGGGGACCCAAAGTTGGGAACCATTACGCTAATACAAAACCTATGTACATCTAGATTAGAAAACATGTATTGTTTCAAAAATGGAGTCTGCTCAATTTCAAATCTGAAAGAATTAGACCTGTGTTTCCAGCTTGATCCAGGCACCATACACAATGACCCCTTCCCTCAAGCTTTCGCTGTTACCTCTGGCCAGCTTAAGAGCAAGAGCTAGTACCCCAACCCCAGGCAGGATGCTTGGTGATGGAACTTCAGTAGGGGTATACTGGACCAACAGAGCATCACCAATGAAGTATCGGCAAGCACATTTCAACCTTAAAAACAGAAGGATTGCCAGTGAGAGAGCTGTTTTTATGAACCTAGCCCATAAAAATTTAGCGCAATTTAGATTAGGTTTATAGTCTCGATGTTGTATCATTTTCAGGAGGGGGGCACAGAGAGAAGATGTTTCACAAACATTTCAGCCAACTCTGTGAAAGGCAAGAGGCTGCAACAGGTGGTAAGATAAACCAGGACAGGCAATCTTTTTTTTAAAAAATGACCTGGCTAAAAACACTCCATTTCATCATGCTAATTCTCCTTGAATACTGCACAATCTGATATTTAAAACTAAGGATAGACAATGTCATTCCTCTTGTCACTCCAAAATATTCTTCTTCACTTCAAAGCCCCCTGCGCCCTCTCAAGAGGTAGGGGAAAATTTGTTATGTTTTATTGCTCTGCTAACCTAATTTTAGACCCCAGGGGACATCTTTCAAAAACAGAAGTCACTTTTGGTATTAAAAACAAATCAGCAGCAGCAGCCTTCCCTTTTCCTAAGCAGGCCAAAGATGACTAAAAACAGTCCCCCCCCAAGTCACATGTATAATAGAATAACGAGGATGATATTTAAGCTCCAGGAGAAGAGGTACAGGAAGATTCCCCCAAAGCACTGGGAACCTTTCTATGTAAAAGAGAAAGAAAATTTGGGGTTTCTGGGAAGCAGTTTTCAAAATCAGAGAGTTATGTATGTAAGCCCCTCGATCTTTGTTAGTTGACCACCCCTGTTTTGACATTTTACGTAACATCCAATATGACATCTTATCCTCGCATACAAATATATGTTTCTCTGTTGTTTCTAACCTCATTAAAACCCTTCAAGCTTTTCCCCCATGCCTTGAATCATATATACTCACTGATAGACAGGTGCTGTTTGTCCTGGGAGGAAATACAGGACCTCGTTCTCATAAATCATGGTGTCATTTTCAAACTGCAGATAGATTATAGGGTTAGCAACTGACCCCCCCAAGAGTTTTAGGATGCTTAAAGCCACATTTCCAGAAGGCACTCACGAGATACAACTTGTGCACTTCCTTCCACCCCCTTCCTTTTATATACTGCCCTGCAAAATATGGAAAACCAAATACAGTCCTAGAAAAACAGGATTTAATTCTTGGGCTTCCCATTTCTGTTCAGTAGTTCATTAAGTTCATCGGTATTTAAATGACTGGCCTTATTTTAGGTAGGTAGAGGCAACCACGCTAAGCAGATGTTTTTTGGGGGGCAGCAGTGCCATTTCCCTTTTGCACCACAACAGTTGTTGGGCACCACTCAGCTGACTTGCTATCCTCAGAAGCAGAGGCGGATATAGACACGCTGCTAGAGTTGAAGCCACATTCAACTGCTGATCCGTGTAGACCATCAGCTGAAGGGGGACTCAACCTTGTCCTTTGCTTCAGGCAGCAAAGGCTCTTTGCCTTGCTCTGGGGATTCACTCAAGAGCACACAAACTTTGGAGCTTATTAGGCTGGCATTGAGCAGCATTCAAGGACCTCTTCAGCTAGAGCAGTGGTTCCCAACCTTGGGTCCCCAGATGTTCTTGGTCTACAACTCCCAGAAATCCTGGCCAGCACAGTTAGTAGTGAAGGCTCCCGAGAATTTTAGTCCAGGAACATCTGGAGACTCACCATTGGGAACCACTGTGCTAAAGGAACCTTCTTGCATGCTCGTGGAGACAGAAGAAAGCCATTTCTCACCTTGCGGGTTGTCCCACAAGAGCTGACGGTGAAGATGAAGGTTGCTCCCCCTTCCGTCACTGAAGCTGGCCTGCAGCGCCTGTCCTTCAGCACTAGACCAGAGGTCTCCATGTCTGGGATGCCAAGCAGCTTCAGGGCCGAGATCACCATTGTGCCATTAGGCTGACAGTCTAGAAGAAAATGCATCATGGGGAAAGAGTCCGTCTCCTGGAGCCCTCAATTGCAAACTAGTTGTACTTTGCCCCAAGGAAAGTTGTGCCATTGGTACAGTCACACTTGGGGTGCTTCAACACAAGCAGCGCTTACTGCTAGTAATTACTGCTCTGTTGCAGATAACAAACAGAAGTGCAACTGCTTTCCCATACCAATTGGGATTATTGTGCATTTTCTGTGCATGTGTTTCACTGGATTTCATCCACACCGTGTCATTAGCACCAGATTTATGTCTTTAATTGGGGAATGGAGGAGCTGTTTTTTTACATGCATGGCAACAGTGGATGTAGGAACCTGTTATTACCTCTGTATACATTCATTATATTCTTTGCAGTGGGTGCCATTTTAATAATCTGCTTATTTTAAATTGATCTTTTTAGTAGTGGTACTAAGTTTCTCATGCATTTTTAAAGCAAGAAAAGAGAGAGAAAGAATGTGTTTAGAAGGCATAATTGTTAATTTACAAGAAATGGAGAAAAGCAGCAAAGAGTAAAAAAAATCCAGTTCCTGTGTACCCATTTAGAAGTGAAAAGAATGCAGCTACTCATGAGTAAGCATAGGCAACAGGTGCGTGAATGAGAGAGATGAGTGAGGAGACGCATATTGCAAGAATGTGAAAAAAGAATCCCTAAGTTTAAGTATTGTTATCTCAAGATGAATTGTGGGTTCCCCAAGGCCTTTTGGTCAGGAAAGGAAAACGGGGACAAGAGGAAAAGCTTACCAATGAGGTCTTTTGGAGAGAAGTTGCAGGCAACAGCAAAATCTATCATTTTAGTTTGACCAAGCCGGTCCTTCAGCTGGAGCCGGAAGGTGGCCACAACCCCGAGAGAGCTTATTTCCTAAGAATGGAACAGGGACACAACTGTTGCATGGGGCCAAGGGTTTGTTATGCTGGGAGGCTTAGAGAAGACTACAACAAAGGTAGCAATCCAACTGTCATTAGTTACTTTGGCATCCAACCCATCCACCAACACCACCTCAGACCAAGAAGTACAAGCAACCATTTTAGACAATTTCTATACATGTTTTGGAGCAGAGAATACTTATGACCAAAGCACTTGCTATTAGTTAATTTGAATAGGGATCAAGGCTGAGGCCAGTTTAGGGGCCATGGAAATCATCCATTTCGCATGGAGCACCAAGGAGATGAAAACCTGGGTTGTCTCCTGATTTATTATCGTCTCAGAAGAGTTTCCATGTCACAGTTCAGAGGTTGACCCCCAACAGTCCAGACTCAGCCACACAAACTCACATTAAGAGGTCAGGAAATGGGTTGCCAATTGCAATGACTCCTGTGCGTGTTGTGTAACACTGAACCCGAAGCTCAAAAGATTGTGTGTAACATTTGCCGTAAACAAGGGTTGTTTCCTCCTCTTCCTCACAGAAGCAGCACCCTATACTCGGAGAAGGTGTGGGGATTTTAGCAATTCAGTGCCAGACTTGCCTGTTAGATGCCTGAGAAGTGTCATAGTGCTGAACTCCACCCAGATACAGAGCAGCAAAAAACCCAAGAGTTTTGGGTGGACAAAAGCCATCTGGGAATTCAGAAGGTCAGGGTGGGGAGGCACAAAGCCAAGGTGAGAACCCTACTACTTGGACATCGTAGAACACTGGTTCTTAACCTTGGATTACTCAGGAGTTTTGGACTGCAACTCCCAGAAGCCTTCACCACCAGCTGTCCTGACCGGGGTTTCTGGGAGTTGCAGTTCAAAAGCATCCGAGTAACAAAGGTTAAGAACCACTGTCATAGAACATTCCAGTAAGTGCAGAACCCAGAGCAAAAGCATCCTTTGTTCAAAACCAGTAAACCAGTAACAGGATAGTATACACACCACTGCCTCTGAGAAAGTTCAGGACAGGCTGTATGGTACACACAGCTGTGTCCTCCAGGCATTGCAGAACAAAGTTCAGGACACATCACTGAAGGGGCTATTGCCACTGCCTCCCCATTGTCTTCTGCCAGATGGAGCTGCCCCACTCTGCCTAATGGTAGGGCCAGCCCAATGCTCAGGAACGAGTCGTCCAAGGTATTAGGGAAAGGTTGCATCCGTCACCCATCCTTAAATGACATATTGTTCCACATTTCAGTTGGCAGCACTCTAGTCCTAAATCTCTTCCTTCAGAGAGAGAGTTCTCTTACCTCATAAAGCACATGGGCGGCATATCTGGGCACCCTCAGGGCCAAGTGGGTCCCATTGTCCTGTAATGTGTAGCCAAAGCTCTGGGCTGCCTCCTGGCTCAAGAGCGTGTCCCCCACAAAGGGAAGCCAGTCTTGGTCCACATTGCCACGCTTCACCACTAAGTAGAGGGCTTGGTCATCGCAGAATCCCTGAGCCTTGGGCAGCACTGCATGGAAGAAGTGGTTGGAACAGCAGCATATTTAAAAGCAAGAACCCTACCTATTCACCCGCCCCGTTTTCTATCCCCATGCTTTTGCAGTAGTGTCTTCTGAAGTAACTGTTTTCAGCATTGCTGTTTGGGGCCTAGAAGAGCAGTTACATTGAACATCCATTGCCGTAGGAACAGGGTTCTTGGACCGCAACTCCCAGAAACCCCAATCCAGCACCGCTGGTGATGAAGGGTTCTGGGAATTGCAGTCCAAGAACACCTAGGTTGGGAACCATTGCCCAAGAAGCCTCTGGATGCACAATTCTGTGTTTTTGTCGAAAACTGTTGGTTGTGGAGTAGGTTTTAGAGGAATTCCCTCCTCATAATCCCTGCTCCTGTGCTAAAACTTCCCAGCTTCCTAAGTAACAGATAAGGCTGACTCCACAGACAGAAATATTGCATGAAGGCTGGGACTAGAAGTGTTGCAGTCTGAGGGGTTTTTTTTTTGGCAAAACCCTGCCCACCCGCAGGCCCTTTTTGTGACACACACACACATTCCCCTTGACCTCTCCTACTTCTAAAAAGGCAAGTTCCTCCTCCTAGAAGCCACCTGCAGCTCCTTTTTCTCTTCTAAAGACATCACAGAGCTTCCCCCAACATACTATGTATTGCCTCAAATACTTTCTCTGTGTGTGGGTTGTTTTTTTTTACTGTTTGTGGGGCATCTTTAGGATTCGAGGGGCTGAAAAGTGGTACCCAGACCTGAATATGCTCTCCCTCATCTGAGGCCCTTGTAATCTAGATATTGTCTCAATCTATCCTGTTTATACATTTTAGATATGGACAGTTCAGAGAAGAATCTGTTGCTGTGAGGATCAGAGTTACGGGGGGGAGGAGCGGTGTCACAAAGCCAAGGAGTCACCAATTCTCACTCCCTACCCCCACCCCAGGCGCCATCAAGTCTCTTCAGACCTTTGGCAACTCCCTAGAAGGGTTTCCAAAGTACGTGAAACATTTAAAGAGCCGTTTTCATTATTCACCCTCCTCCCCCTCTAGTGAGTTTTCAGGGCCAAGTGGGGATCTGAACCCAGGTCTCCTGAGGAGTAGTTAACGCTGCACCACTCCAGCTCAAAAGCAAATGGTACTCGTTGCTTCCTTAGCCTTTTCTGGAAGACTACTAAGGGCCATTCTCATGCTTAGTTCCCTCTTTTAGAGCAGATCTGATCAGATGGGACCTAGGCCTAGCAAAAATGTCAAGTCTCGCAGGTGCCCTGGCTCCATTACATCACTGGTGCAAAAGCTGAAATAGAGACATGACCTTGATATCTAAGCTGTTGCTTGTCATTCCTTCCTTCTGTTTTCTGTGCTCATAATAGAAAGGGTTGAGATTGGTGGGCAGGGCAAAACTCTCCCACCACTTGAGGGAGGAAGCAAAGCACCTCCACATGGCTGTGGCTCCAACATGAACCCCCCCCCCCAAAAGGATTTTGTCCTTGTGGCAGCAGCACCTACCCACACCTTCTCCCACACCACCAGCAGGAAAGGAAGCAGGAACTGGTGCATCCACCAGACAGTCTTCTCTGGGTGGCTCTCTCAGAATTGAGGGAAGAAGGGAACGGTGTCCAAAGACATGGCCGGAGCTGATGGCAGTCTCTCTGGACATCCTTCCCATTGTGCCTTTGCCTTGAGAGAACTCCTCAGAGGCAGACATTTCAAAAACACAGATGGATTCCACACCAGCCACCTTTCTGTCCTCTGATGGCAGACTTCTGGGAGAGATGAGGTCCCTGGTGCTGGTTCCTTCCAGTGGAGGCTGGCTCACGGCTGTCTTCAGGGAAGTGGGAGGAGAGTGGCTTCTAGAGAGGAGGGACACCTCTGTCACCCCCAGCATGGCTAATGGCTGGACCTGTGTGTCCTCCACTAACTCACCTGCATCTCTGACCAGGGCAGCCAGAGGGACTGGGACATTAAAGGGTTTTCTCTGAGGAACCACAATGAATCCCAATATGGGGGTGATGGTGTAGTTTCTCATGTTATCTGGCACATACTGCAAAGACAGGAGACTTTGGTTAAAGCAGTCGCAACGACTTCAAAATCTTGAGCTGCCTTGAGTCCCACTGCCAGGAAAGAAGTGGTATAGAAGTACAGTCCATCAATCATCTGTACCACCATCATCCAAAGGAAAACAGCCCAAAGGAGACACCAGAAAGAGACCAGCCAATGACAAAGCACTAATTTAAAAGATGCCAGCTTCTAAGTCGCTCCACTTTATTCCATTTAGCTATTTTCCCTCTTTATACATAGTTTTATCTGTTTTTGTTTGTTTCAATCCACTGTTCCATTGGTCATACTTGACTGCTTATTCATGGGGGCCATAGCACCTTGTGATGGATAGGGTGGAAGGCACAGCAGTGAACAGAGTCAGGGCAAAAAGTGGGTATTCCTACAGAATGGTAGGAGGCAGCAGGCAGGCAGGCAGGCATTCAAACAGACCCAGAGGCAGTGTTTCATCCACCCAGATACTGCTTCATTGTCCACCCCTTTCATTCATTGGCTCAAATTCAGTAGGTCACAACCAGAGCAGGCCCATGGAGCTTACAGAGAAGTCGACTCACCAGATCCCTCTGGATTCAGTGAGCCCACGCTAGTTGCAACTTGCTACTGCATTTCAGCCACTGCAGCTCAGCTGAAAAATACAGTACACCTTGCCTGCAAATTAGAAATGTTCCTACCTGCTGCACCGTGTCTCTCTTCTCCCCACTCCCACTCTCCACCACACATTATGAGGTTGGGAGCTCAACAGCAATGGGTTGCAGTCAAGAATGGACTGGTTGGGGCAGCCTGAGGTCAGTCTGTGCCCCATTTCCCTTGGCAGATCAGCCTTCATGGCTGATCTGCCAAGATAGTCCTTGATCTCAAGAACCTCCAGACAGAGCACAAAAAGTCAACCATCAGGCTAAGCTTCGCTTGGGGCAGAACTTACCTCCTTCACAACCCCGGGGGCAACAAAAGGCACTTGCAGGATACAGTCCCTGCTGCCATTGGGGTGTTTGGTTTCATACACCTTATAACCTTTCTTGTCAGCCTCAGGCAGCGTCAAGGGCCCAGAGTCGTCCACCGTCACGCTAACCAACTCCACATCAGGCAAGAAGGACCCAATGGTTGCATTGAAGAGCTGCAGGCTAACATTCGTGTCTGCAGGAGATAGAGAGACATCTCAAATGGAAGATGAAGTCCAGGTCTGGGGAGTTTCCAGCCCTCTGGAATTAGATGGGCCCTTCAGTCCCCACTTGCTTCAGCCAACCTGGTAAGATTTTGTGGGCAGGAATTCATTAACACCTGGAGGGTCACCAGTTCCCAACTCTTGTCTTAAACATTAGAACAGGGGTGGGTAACCTCAGGCACTGGAACCATACCTAGCCTTGTGGGCTTCTTGAATGGCCACATTCCCTTCCCCATCATATAATCATCTGATAGTTTCCAATGGATTCCCGCTCCCCCTGGCTCCTAAGAGGCTGAAATGCCTTTCCTAAGACTTAATAATTGTGTGCCATCAAGTTAATTCTGACCTATAATTACCCTTTTCAGGGTTGTTGTTTTTTTAGGTAAAGAATACTCAGAACTGGTTTGCCATTCTCTTCTTCTGAGGCGCCCTGGGATTGTGCAGCTTCCCCAAGGCCACGCAAGCTGGCTTTTCTGGGATGCCCAGTGGGCAACTAGACCCCCAACCCGATTCTATAGCCAGATGCCTAACTCACTGAGTTAACCAGCCAGCCCCTAAGCAACTGATGGCAAAAGTGTCTAGCCAAAATATGTTGGTATTTTTGGCCCCTTCCCCCCTTTTCCTGTGGCCCTACTCACCACAGGAATGCAACCCCTGAGAAATCTTCTGGAATGGAATTTGTCCCTCGGAGTGAACCACCTCTTGGTTCACCAGTGATTCCTAGGCTGCAACTCCCATGACTGTTACCCAGCTTAGCCAGTGGTAAGAGATGAAGGGGGCTGCAATCCAGCTCCATCTGGAGACAGGACATCTGTTTCCCATCCATGAGCCAGCAGCAAAGAGGGTGCAACAGAGGGACAATTCCACCAAGACAGAAGGTCCCTGTCCTCACATGCTTGTAGGTGAGGAGAGGGATGGGTGTTCTTGCTGATGGCATTTCCTTCACTGTCCACAGCAAGAGAAGCGAGCAACAAGACCTAGTAGGGTCCTGACAGATTTATGATGGTCTCTAGGTAAGGGTGGTCTCTGGGGAGGACCTGGGAAGCATGCATCCCTCCCTCGTATAACCAAAGTGTACAATTTCATCCTGCTAGATGCTCCAGTTTCCCCCTGACCTAAGATCAAACTAGTTGTTAAGAGAACTGCATATGTCCTATGATGAAATCATTTCCCTTCTCATAATAGGATATTCTCAGGGGATAAGTGACTCATCAAACTTGCAAATTAAGCCTTTTTACAGGGTTCTGCAGGGTGGCAGCCATGTTAATTGCTTCTAACAAAAAACAAAAAATCTTGTGCTGCTTTTGTGCTACAAAAGCTTCTGAAAATCGTCATTTGTCAGAAGCTTTTGTAGACTGCATCTGATGAAGCAGGCCACCGGTGACCAAAGTTTGTGCCAAATTAACGTTGCCAGCCTTTGAGGTGTCTCAATACTTTCTGTTGTTTACTTTCCAGGGAACAAATTACATAAATGCAACATACATAGTCATGGGAAATCACACATTGTGACAAACAGATGCCTTTCCTGGGGACCCCTCTTGTAAACAATGTGCTAGCCATATAATCTAGTCTAATTCAAACCCGAGACCCATCTGCCACTAAGGAAACCAAAGTCTTGACAACAGTAGTAGCTTTTTCTTACAATTGACACTCACGGTCTGTAATGGTCACTGGCACAAGTTGCAGAGGGGTGTTGATGTCCTTCAGGATGGTATGCTTAGTAATGCCTCTCTTGTCATCTTCCCACAGATGCATTATGAAGGGCTTGATTTGATAGGTGGTCATCAGGTTCCCATCCACCACATCACTCTGAGGAGGGCGGGGAGGCAGCCATTGCTGAAAAGCCCCAGTGCTAACCCAAATCATGTCACAAGCCCTTACCATTCCCCCTCCCCATTCCCTTCCCCCATTTTAAAAAACTTCCCTGATGGTTCTTCTTCAGATTCTTTTATTAATTGTATGTAGGGCATTTGAGGAGTCTTTTGACCCAGAACGGGAGCAAAATTACTTGAAATCAAGCAAATAAATATTGTGACAAAATGGAGAGAAGTTCCCATGTTTTCCTGCCATACTACCATTTTGAGTCCGACACCATATTGGTTCAGGTAGAGCCATAACTAGCCATTTTGGTACCTGGGGCAAGCAGCACCTTCAGGCACCCACCTCACCAAAAGGACACAGGCACAGCCCCCACCCATGAAAAAGGAGGAGGAGAATGTGGTGTTCCCCAAACACATCAAAAGAAAAAGAAAGTTCATGCTTGGGTAGGTAGGTGAGCTTCTGTCATTTATTTTCCTAACACTCACCAGTAGTTTTACCTACTTGGTGCCCTCAGGCAAAATCCCATTTGCCCCATTCTGGTTACAGCCCTGCCTTCAGGAACTCTAAAGGATGCACAGATTCTCAGGTCTTTTCAGTAAAGGTAATAATCTCAGCCCAATGACTTCAATTTCACCTCTTTGTTTGATGTTACCACTTTGGATGATAACACCATCAATGCGTTTTGAACAGGATGCCATTCAGAACATGAAGTAACATAGCCAGCTGTCAGCCTCACTGCTCTCTCATTCCTCAGTTTACCCTGAATTGCATGAGAAGGGCAATGTCTAGCCATTTGAAGGCTGTTGGTCTACAACTCCCATCAGCCCTAGCCAATATAGTAAATAGCAAGGGATTATGGAAGCTGCAGTCCAACAACATCTGGGAGGCTCTTTCCAACCCTTGAGTTAGACCCTTCAGTATCGAAGGCATACAAGACTAATGTCCCAATGTACCTTGTAGCTTCCATCAGGCGCACCAATTGGGATCTTAACAACAATAGAGTCCTTGTCACTGGCCAAAGTGTACCCCCGGCGTTCCCTCTCCTGGACAGGAAGCTTTGTCAAGTTGATGCCCATCTCCACCTGCAACTCTTTGACAGTACCTCCTCCAGCCAGAAGAGGAGTGATGCCTTTGGGGACAGTCCAAATGATGGTCTCTTCTGTATAGGTCACACCATCTTGTGAAGAGAAAAAGAAGAAGGGCAAGATCCCATCTCAAGCCTTAAAGCTACATGGAAGCTGGAGAAGCTTTTGCTTCAGCTAGTAGCCTGGGGAAGGGTCCAAGAGTTTGGAGCAAGTCAACTTGTTTACCCACCTATAGGGCAAGCTACAGCTGTGTCCACCATCAGGAGCATCCAGCGCTGCTTGTAGTAGGTACTGGATCTCACCGATGAGAAAGGAACCCCACTAACCTGTAAAGGTGGTACAAAACTCTGGTCTCTGTACTTCTGACCAAGGGTCAGGATGCCTAGGAATCTAAAATGTGAAGTGGGTACTATGCCATGCCCTTAGTTGCTCTTGATAGAATGAGGATTTTTAAAGGAGCAAAGTCAGGCTAGTTACAAAATTGGGAAATGCTCTGGGCAAGGAGAGTCAGTTACTCCAGTGTCAAGTCAATTTCTCACCTCGTCAAGATGGCAACCCAAGAAGACATTCTGTACAGGCTAAGTTCAGCCCATCCAATATTTTGTTTACATGGTGACCAACCAGTTTAGTTGCAATATTTCAATATGGTTCCAAGTAGAAATACGTATGTATTAAAATGGATGTAAAACTACAAGCAAGCCAGGTGGCAGGACACAATCTGTTAGCTTTACTTTTCACACCCCAAAAATAGGAATGGGTTCAAGGGCCTGCTATGACACAATATCCAGAGTGATGTTATGTTTAAAATACCTTCTCCCATTCTGGCCCCCTTCAGGTATGTTGGACCACAGTTCTCAAAATACCTAATTCACCTTCATCTATGGGAGTTGTTGTCCAACACACCCGGAAGGCACCAGGTGAGGAAACAGTGGATTAAAGTGTATCATGTGAGGATTAGGAAGACCTAGGCCCAAAGTTGACAGGCAGTCATAAACAGTGACCACTTTCTCAGTCTAATCTACCTCACAAGAGTCTGGCAAGACTAAGACAAGGATATCCAAGATAAATAAGTCCATTATCATCCAAAAAACAAAGGCTTATATTTATGTACCAGCAACATTTGAGACTCCTGCCAACCTAGCAGTTCAAAAGCATGTAAATGAGTAGATAAATAGGTACCACCACAGTGGGAAGCTAACAGCGTTCCGTGTCTAGTCGTGCTGGCCACGTGGCCACAGAAACTGTGTATGGACAAACGCTGGCTCTACGGCTTGGAAACGGGGATGAGCACCACGCCCTAGAATTGGACACGACTGGACTAAATGTCAAGAGGAACCTTTATCTAACATATGAGAATACCTTACAATTAAGTTATAAAACCTTCAGTTGGACAGTCACACAGATAGGCTAATTCTTGCAGCCCTTTTTTGTCTCATATCTTCATATAATTATCATCTTAGAACTTCAAAGCTGGAAAGGACCCCTTGAATCATTGAGTCCAGCCTCTGTCAAGGAAGCACCGTGGGGAATTTAACTCCCAACCTTGACCTGTCCAGTTCTTATATCTGTGAAGATTCTGAACTTTCAGATTCTTATGTTTTCAAGTGAACCTACCTCCAGCTTCTGAGCTTCAGACGCATTATAGGATGCCCTCAATACTATCCTTGTGTCTGTGGTGTTGACCCCATAACCAACAGCATGAGCTTCTTCAACTAGCATGGCTTTTTTCCCTCTGTCCATGTGAAAGACTATTTGCCAAATGGAAGGTGCTCCTGCTTGAACCTGAGGCAGTAGGGGAAAAAGAAAGGTTGATGATACTTTTAGAGCTACTGTACTTAGAGTCAAACTAGATATTTGGGGAAAGGTATATCACCTCCAATAGTCTGTTTCTCCTCCCACAATGTGATTTCTGAGGAGATACAAGCTGGGCAACCAAAGTTGCAAATGAAACCCGTTCTTACCATCTATTGACCAATTACAAAGCAAAACATGCTTACCTTCTATTGAGCAATCACAAAACAAAGCTCACTGAAATGTAAGATACAGGACTGAGTGAATGCATGTGCAAAGAGGAAGATACACATCTTTTGGCACTTAAGAAAATTCAATCTATAACAACACACGAATGCTATTGTTCAGTTGTTTCTGGACTACAACTCCCATACTTCCTCGGCCAACATGCTCGCTGGGGATTGTAGTTCACAAATGTAATATGGCCATGTTCTGTCCATGGATAGTAGCCTAACCTTTCCTACCCAGGATGGATTAGGCAGGAAAGTGAGATTAAAAACTGTGAGTGGATACCTCTGGGAAGGCAGATTCCCAATCTTCAGGTTGATCCTGAGGAAGCCAATCCTCAGGTTGATCCTGAATGAATCCATCTGGAATTGGTGGCACATTCCTTCTTACAGAGACCTGGGGAGGAGAGGGAAGAGTTACAATACACCTGGAAAATCTTTCACAGCGATCACACCCCTGATTCCTTCTGCCTCTTCTCCTCTTTCACTTACCCCCAAGATCGATAGCCAGGGCTAGCCCAGAGTTCAGCAGTAATGAGAAAAAAGCCAAGTGACCACCAGTAACAAATGTGTGTGTAATGACAAAATGTAATGTGACTAAGCTCCTTTAAAAGCACTGTAACTCTAAAACTTTAAGGGCATTTTTAACATGATGTTTCCAGTTTCATGCCACCCCTCTATCAATCCTGTTTTTTTTTTTAAATGACTAAAAAAGTAACAGGTAATGTTAACGATTCACTCTCTTAGGCACACTCTAAATCCTTTCCGTTTCAGCAGCAATGAATTACTTCTTCGGTCTTGAAATGCATTACATAAAAATATTTCAAATAGTAACTTTTTAAAATGGTGTGATCCTATAGTTTAGCAGTGAGATTATTTTGGATATCATGGAGGAGCAGCTTGGAGGCATTTAGTTTCCTGTTGTTGTTTTACTGCCCAGAAAGAAGAGAGGCACTTGTGGGATCTTATGTGTCATTCACACCTAAAGGAGGCCAGACAGTTTTGAATCAAATCTAGTTTGTCTTGTCAAGAGTCTAGGAAGCGAGGACCTCTCCCTTCCCAAGCTGCGTCCCTAAACCAATGGCTCCCAGTTTGGGTTCTCCAGATGTTCTTGGACTGCAGTTCTCAGAAGCCTTCACCACTAGCTGTGCTGGCCAGGATTTCTGGGAGCTGTAGTCCAAGGACACCTTGGGGACCAAGGCTAGGAGCCCATGCCTTAAACGCTTAAGGATACCACCTGCCTTTCCTCTGGGCTTACCTCCATGTAATTTGCTTCACAGACTATTTCCCGGGGTTGCCATGGGCCATAGGAGCACCTTATTGGGACATCTAGCACAGCAGCATCACGCAGCTCTGGGTCCCTTCCTGTCTTGATTTGGATGTTCAGAGTGGAAGACCGATCATCCTGAATGAAGAGTTGTGGGAAGAAAGAGACCAAGAGCTGATTAAAGCACTCAAGAATGAAATACCTCATTTTGTGGAGGCAAGGGTCTCCGTACTGATAAATAAAAACACTGGTGACCAATGCTTATTGTGCTCAGTGACAGGGGAGGCACATTTGATCCACACTGCTGCCACTATTTATTTTATTTTTTAAAAAAATACTTTTAACCTGCCTTTCTCCTTAAAAAGGACCCAAGGCGACTTACAACAATTAAAAGTTAGTAGCAATGAGTATACAATACTACAGGGAGAAATGAACACAAAGCAAAAAAGATAAACAACATCCAAACACATTCAATGCTGTGTAATTAGTAGCAATTTGTATAGAATACTACAGGGACAAATGAACACAAAGCAGAAAAGATAAGCAACATCCAAACACATTCAATGCTGTGTAAGGTATAACAGTCCATTTAAAAAAAAACTAATTCAGCAACCATTCACTCAGGGAAACCTTGCCTGAAGAGAAGCTATGGGCTATGCCATGCAGAGACACCCAAGACGGACAGGTCATAGTGGAGAATTCTGACTAAACGTGATTCACCTGGAGCAGGAACTGGCAAGCCACTCCAGGATCTTTGCCAAGACAAATGTTCCATGGACAGAAACAAAAGACTAAAAGATATCACACTGGAAGATGAGCCCCTCAGGTCAGAAGGCATCCAACATGTTACAGAGGAAGAGCAGAGGGCAAGTACAAGTAGATCCAGAGCTAATGAAGTGGTTGGGACAAAGCCGAAAGGACGCTCAGCTGTGGACGTGCCTGGAAGTGAAAGGAAAGTCCAATGCTGCAAAGAAAAATACTGCATAGGAACCTGGAATATACATGAACCTTGGTAAGCTAGATGTGACCAAACAAGAGATGGAAAGAATAAACATTGACATCCTGGGCATCAGTGAACTAAAATGGACAGAAATGGGTGAAGTTAATTCAGACAATTATCAAAACTACTATTGTGTGCAAGAATCCTGTAGAAGACATGGAGTAGCCCTCATAGTCAAAAAAAGAGTGGGAAAAGCTGTACTGGGATACTATCTCAAAAATGATAGAATGATTTCAATATGAATTCAAGGCAGACCTTTTAGCATCACAGTAATACAAGTTTATGCACCAACCACCGATGCTGAAGAGGCTGAAACTGACCAATTCTATTAAGACTTACAATATCTTCGAGAACTGACACCAAAGAAAGATGACCTTCTAAATACAGGGGATTGGAATGCTAAAGTAGGTGTGAGTGGAGGAATAGAAGTGAGCCGTCCTCACTGGTGACGAGGAAAGAAGAATGTGAAGGATGTGTAGTGGGGGAGTTGATCAAATTGGACGACGATAACAGTGGGACTAATAAAGCTATAGAGGTGTTCTTAGCAGAGAGGTCCAGAGATTGGGGGGAGGAGTCAAGAGACGTGGAGATGGGATGACAGTATAAAAGAGGAAGGAGGGGAAGGAAGGAGGAGTTTGTTGGGAATAGAAAAAGAGACACAGACGGTGGAGACAGGGGCAGAAAGGGAAAGGATTACGACACTTGTGAAGAATTTACCAAACCTTATGAGAGAGGATGGGTTGCTGCCTCTACCTAAGGAAATAGATAAGTTTGGAGCAGGTGAGAAGAAAAGGGGATGGAAACAGGGAGCAGGTTCGATTGCCCCACCATCGGAGGACTGCGGGACCCTTGGTGGAGCCAGCCCTTTCCTACCCAGGCTGGAGGGTTCTTTCGTGATACATCCATGCTGCAGGACAACCTGCGCGGTGCTGAGTGCGCCGTCATGAACCAAAATGTAACCTCCCGCTTTGGGATGAAGAAACTGTAAAGGTTAAAGATGTGGGAACTGGGAGTAAACCCATGACATCTACTCCGGCTGTCATTCCCGCCGAATCCCTAGGCCCGCCTACTTAAGAGAGAGAACCCAATCACAGTAGGGAGTCGAGATAAAAAGAACAACAGGAAAGTTTGGCCTTGGAGTTCAAAACTAAGCAGGGCAATGGCTAATAGAGTTATGTCAAGAGAACAAGCTGGTCATCTTAAACACTCTTTCAACACAAGAGGAGACTCTGCACATGGACATCACCAGATGGGCAGTACCAAAATCAGATTGATTATGTTCTCTGCAGCCAAAGATGGAGAAGCTCTATACAGTCAGCAAAAACAAGACCTGGAGCTGATTGTGGCTCTGATCATCAGCTTCTCATAGCAAAACTCAAGCTTAAACTGAAGAGAGTAGGAAAAACCACTGGGCTACTCGGGTATAATCTAAATAATCTAAATCCCTTATGAATACACAGTGGAAGTGAAGAACAGATTTAAGGAACTCGATTTGGTGGACAGAGTGCCCGAAGAACTTTAGATGGAGGCTCATATTATTGTACAGGAGGCAGACACAAAAACCATCCCAAAGAAAAGGAAATGCAAGAAAGCAAAGTGGCTGTCCAACGAGGCCTTACAAATATAGTAGCAGAAAATAGAAGGGAAACAAAATGCAAGGGAAATAGGGAAAGTTACAGAAAATTGAATGCATACTTCCAAAACTAGCAAAGAGAGACAAGAGGGCCTTCTTAAATGAACAGTGCAAAGAAATAGAGAAAAGTAGAAAGGGGAAAACCAGAGATCTGTTCAAGAAAATTGGAAATATTAAAGAAACATTTTGTGCAAAGCTGGACATGATAAAAGGACAAAAATGGTAGGGACCTAACAGAAGCACAAGACATCAAGAAGAGGTGGCAAGAATACACAGAGGGATTATAAAAAGATCTGGATGTCCCTGACAACCCAGATAGTGTGGTTGCTGACCTTGAGCCAGACATTCTGGAGAGTGAAGTAAAGTGGTTCTTAGAAAGCATGGCTAAGAACAAGGCCAGTGGAGGTGATGGCATTCCAGCAGAACTATTTAAAATCTTAAAAGATCGCGCTGTTAAGGTGTTACACTCAATATGCCAGCAAGTTGGAAAACTCAGCAGTGGACAAAGGATTGGAAAAGATCAGTCTACGTACATCCCAATCCCAAAGAAAGACACTGCCAAAGAATGCTCCAACTATCGTAAAATTGCATTCATTTCACACACTAGCAAGGTTATGCTCAAAATCCTCCAAGGTAGGCTTCAGCAGTATGTGGACTGAGAATTCCGGGAAATACAAGCTGGATTTCGAAGGGGCAGAGGAACTAGAGACCAAATTGCTAATATGCACTGGATTATGGAGAAAGCCAGAGAGTTCCAGAAACAC